CACGGTGTCCCCACGCCCGGGTGGGGACAGTGGCCCTGGGGAGGGTTGGGTGTACTGGGGCACTAGACTTGATAATGAGGTTTCCCTGGCCTGCAGGGTAAGTTCTGGAAGAGGAAAGCCTCTCGCCAGCTGCTCCCAAGGTCAGTGTGGTTTGGACTCAGAATGCAGCTCAGGGGGCCTGGCCCTCCCGGGAGAGGGTCCCTGCGGCCACCGCGGCGCGACTTTTCAAGAGATTTCTCGGTCCCTGTGTGCGTCCCCCTGGGCCTCCAGACCTGCCAGGGAGGACCTGGCGTCCACAGGGCCCTGGGCTCTTTCCATGAACGTGTGTCCAGAGGGTCCGGGGCCTCTGCCCGGTGGGGGAGGAGGGGGGGGCCCTATGCTGTCCTCCTGCCTTGGCTCAGGACAGTGACGCAGGAGACCGAGCACCTCCCTTAGAGGCGACCCAGAAAGGGGCTCAGACAGCAGTTCCTGGAGGCCTCGGCCCTAGATGAACGGCCTCGTTTCTCCAGGAAAGGGGGGAGGGCGACTGTCTTCATCCTGCGTCCCAGCCCGTGTCCCCCGGCCACGGACACCCTCCCTGAACCACGCGGGTAGCAGACCCTGACAATGTGTCTCTGACCGCAAACAAGTCTGGAAAATTATAGCAAATTCTCACCATTCCATGTCTGAGATGTAAATTCAAAACACACGAAGCGCAGGTGGAATGAGGCTTACAGACGGCGGGGCACGCCAGCACCCCGAGGCCTGGCCCCGACGTGGGCCCTGTCCCGCTCACGCCCCGCCGCCCGGCTACCTGGCGCACGCGGGGCCTGCAGACGCCTGCAGGCCCAGGGCTGTCCTGTGGCTTCCGTGGAAAGCAGAACGGTGTCCAGGAAAATGCCTGGAGTGGCCCTATCAGCCACTGAGGCAGTTGAGCCCTGGGCAAGTGCCAACGCTGGCTCCTGGCTGTCCTGGCCAGGCCGCGGGGCCTGGCCCGCTCTCTGGACGCTGTCCACGTGGTGACAGTGTCAACTGCTGAAGTTCACGGTAAAACATTACGGGGGACATTTCGGATACGCAGATGGCTGGGACGACCACCCTGCCCGGGTTCCTCTGACCCCTCCCAGAGACCGGGCCAGATGCCCCCGGGGAGAGGGTTCCCAGGGTCGGCCAGTGTAGACGCGCCCTCCCATGCCCTCTCCCCACGCCCTGCTCAGGGTGCGGTCCCACAGGGACTCCACGGAGGGGCCCCTCAGGGCTGGGGCTTTCCAGGACAGGGTGTCCAGGGTCCACCCGCCACTGGTGTCCTCAAACCTCCCGGTGGGTGCCGCCAGCACAGGTCCAGCTGGATGACCACCCTGAGTCAGTTCTCTGGGGTACGGAGGCCTGCAAGACGGCATGCACCTGGGCAGTCTGTGTTTCAGCAGCACCGAGTCTGCCGTGAGATGCCCATGAGTTGCTCAGAGTGGTCAGAACTTCTAGAAGGACCACCTGGGTGGCTCTGGCGAGGTGCAGACTCAGAGGCCTGGCCCTGGCCCGGCAGACAGGGATGCAGCAAGCAGGCGGGAGCAGCTGCCCTGGGGACTCTGGGACACTCACCTGCTCAGCCGGGCAGCAGTGCCCACACCACGACCCCTGAGGCCTGGGCCACCAATGCCAGCACCCCACGGGCGTCACGGGGCTTCTCAAGACGCCTGCTCTCCTCTGGAGTCATGACACAGTTGGTGCCAGCGGGCGGTAGTAACCGGCCCTGCCCCGCCGGCCTGGAGGACATGGCAGCAGGACAGGCAGCAGGGCCGCCTGCAAGGTGTGCCAGTCCAGAGGCTCCAGCTTTAGCTGCACACGAGGAGACGCGTCTATCCACCTTGTGTCCGAGGCCTTCCTGGCCCCACAGAGGGTGGACTTGGGCCAAGGGACAGGAGCTGCTCCAGAGGGAGGGCATGGCGGTGTCCGCCCTGTCCCTGGACACAGCCAGGAGCACTTCCCTCTACCATTCGTGCTTGCTCTGAAGCACCCGTCTGCTCCGTTGGCTGCAGGGACACTGGACACAGCTGCCTGGCCCAGGATGCGCTGTCCTGCCAGTAGCTGCGCGTCCTCTGCTCGCGCGTCTCCATGTGCGCCTGTTTGCATAATGGGGCTCTGAGAGGAGGACCCCAATGGGGTCTCCATGCGGGCGCTGCTCCTGCTCCTGCCATGTCACCCCCGGCCCGCCACGGAGGTGCTGGGAGGGACAGCCTCGCCTGCAGGGCAGCACCCCAGGAGCGTTCCAGAGCAACGGTCTGACACCTGTCTGCAGCCCGGGCAGCCCCAGCCTCGCCTGGCTGGGCCCACCCCGCCCTCACTGCTGGCCGGAGCCAGCGTGCGCGGGGCCATCCTCGCTCCTCCTGGTGGAGGCCCAGCGTGCCTCCTGGGAACCGCCCACCTGCTGGTCCTGAGCACCTGCCCGGGCCCCGGGACACGCAGGGATGAGGGCAGAGTCTAAGGGTTTCACCCTCCTCCCTGGTGCCTCTGTCTGGGCCTGTGCCGGACCTGGAGGGGAGCGAGGGCTGCTTTCTGCCCCGCAGGCTCTGAGCACGGAGGGCGGCTAGTGACCGGGCTGGTGCCGGCGCTGCCCGCCGGTTTGGATGGGGCGGGTGTGCAGGCTGCACCGCCTGGGCCAGTGCCTGGCTCTGAGGCCCGAGCCTGGGGCAGCTCCACACCTGCTCCCAGTGTCACCGCCCCATGGCCGAGGCTGCGGGGACCCAGCCAGGGCCCTGACTGGCACCTGCTCCAGGCGGACCGGCCACGCCATCCTCTGCCTCCATCAGGGCTGGACTGGGGGGCCCTGAGTGCCCGGGCGAGGGGGGCCATCTGTGCCTGGAACACTGCAGCTGAGAGGAGGCAGCCAGCCCGTGGGGCCTCTGCCGACCCCGGTTCCTCCCAGGCCTCAGTCCTGCCACAGGCACTGTCCTGCGAGAACTGCCGCCGTGGGCCCTCCCGGCCCCTGCCTGGGGGAGCACCATGCAGGGCTCTGCTGCCCAGGAAGAAGGTCAGTGCTGGCCTGGCGTCGTGTCCCCGGTAGGCAACCGCGGCCTCCCCCACCCAAGCTGAGCCGCCGGCGCCAAGAGCCCGCAAGTGCGGCCCGAGCACAGGCCTGTCCAGACCCCGCGGGGCCTTGCTGGCTGCGCTCAGCAGCCGGCTCTGGGCACCTGGGTTGGCACCTGGGCTGAGAGCCCAGCACAGTCTCGGTCTCAGTGCGACACTCGCCGCTGATTTTGGCGTCTGTGCAAAGTGTCTCCCAAACCAGACGCACTTGGAGGCCGCCTTCTCTAGAGCCAGGCTGGCCCCTGGAGCCTCTCTCGAGGCAGATGTCTAGGGAGTCCCCCCGGCCTCAGACGGGGGTCTCCCCTTGTAAGGCCTGGGCCCGATCCCTCTCTAGGAGCTGTCTGGGCGGAGGTGCACAGCCCAGGCCTCACCCGCGGGAGTGGGAGCAGGAGGGAGAGCAGGGGCCAAGCTGGGCCACTGGCCCCAGGGCCTCTCAGCAGGCGGGACCCCCATAAAGTGACTCACAACGCTGAACACAAAATTAAGCCCGGGGTGAGGGGGCCAGGACGCTGGCTGCCAAGGAAGCAGCAGCTGAGGCTGCTCTGGGAGGCGGGGGCAGCTCGGGGGAACTGGACGGGGTGGCAGGGGCGTCCCGGGCTTCGGAGGGCCCTGCCCCTCTCACCCCGTGCCCTGGCTTGGAGGAGGGGCTGGGCTTCCCGGGAATGACGCTGCTGGAGCCCCGCACACAGACACATCCCGGGGAACCTCCCTAACCTCCTCCCCGGTTAGGGAAACAGTGGGTGCTTGAGAGTCAACTCAAAGGCGGGGGAGAGACTCGCAGTCCCGTCCAGAGGCCCCGGCCGGCCGGGCCAGTGCCCAGTCTGAGCCAGTTCCCTGCACCAGGCAGCTGGGCACAGGGATGCGGCTGCCAGGCCCAGCACCAGGCCTGGGTCGGCGTGGGGTCAGGCGCTGGCCGGCTGGGGGGCTGGCCGGGGCGAGGGCGTGTCCAGGCCGGCCAGCACACTGCTCTGAGCCGGGCCCGGTCTGTCTAGACGCCTCGGCCCTCACCCCTCCGGAAGGACCGAGAAAGCACTGCTAACCGGCCCCGGGGCGCGGTCAGCGGGCCTCTCCGAGTGTGGCTGGTGGCCTCGGGACGGAGCTGGTGTCCAGTGGACGGGTCCCTTGGGGAGATGAAGACGGCCTGGAGGTGGGCGGGCGACACCACAGCCTCACGAGGGCGGACCTGATGTTACACCGCTTTTACCGCCACCGTCAGGATGTTTCATTTCGAAGAGAAGGAAGGAGCCCCCAGCCCCCGCCCACCCCCCTCTGCTCTGTTGCAGCCCCAGTGCCTCCCCCCTCACTCCCAGGAACAGCCCCCCCGCACCCGCACCCCAACCCACGCCCGCAGCCTGATGGCCGGGTGACCGGCCCTCTCCTAGCAGCAGGTGGGGGCTCTGGGCGGCCAGGGGAGGGGAGGGGGCCTTCCACTGGGCTCTGGGCTTACAAAGGCCTGGGGCTTGGGACGTGGGGCCTCCCATGCCTCGGTTTCCACACCTGTGACGTGGCGTGTCAGTACTGGCCCGCTGTGCCCAGGACACAGCTGCGTGTGGACACGGCCCAGCCGTGTGATGTGGCACTATGCCACGCGGGGAGGACAGCCAACCTCGTCCTGCCCGACGGCCTCCCCTCTGGGCCAGGGGGACCCCACCTCCCCGCCCCGCTCCTGGGCCTGCCTCTGCAGACGGGCAGAGGAGCAGGGTTGGGGGGGAGCTGCTCCCTGGGGTGGCCCCACTCCCGGCGCACTGTGTGGGCCGCCCAGCCCTGGGGAGGCCGCAGCCCGGGCGGGGGCCATGCAGATACTCTTGGATGCCTCGGGCCCTTCCCCTCCGGCCCCGTGTGTCTCCCTGGCGGCGGTGCTGGCTCTGGTGGGCAGGGCTCGGAGTGGCCCTCCTCAGAGTGGCCAGTGAGGTGACCAGTGCTGCTCCCCGCAGGGCTGAAGATGGTACCAGTTGCCCCCAAGCCGCAGGGGCCTGCAGCTGCGCCATGGAGGAGCCCACGCCGGAGCCGGTCCACGTGGACGTGGACAAGGGGCTGACCCTGGCCTGCCTGGCCTTCCTCTGCCTCTTCCTTGTGGCGATGATCATCCGCTGCGCCAAGGTCATCATGGACCCCTACAGCGCCATCCCCACCTCCACCTGGGAGGAACAGCACCTGGACGACTAGGCCCTCGGCCACGCCCACCGCGGAGCGGGCTGGGGGCTGGGGGCGCAGATGAGGGCCGGCGGCAGGGAGCCCTCCGGGGCGGCGTGGGCAGCAGGTGCTTGGACCGCCGGACCCCGCCCGGCAGGGACCCGCGGAAGCCAGGCCCCGTAAGCGCCAGGAGAGGTGTTTGTCTTCCCTTTTATACACATCGGAAGTTTGGGGAAACCCAGAAAACAAGGAGAGGCGAGGGGAGGGCATGTCGAGCCCCAGGGGACCTCCGTTTTGATATATTTTCTTGTCTTTTCTACAGTTTTTAGAGCCGTACTCTGCGGGTGGCCCTCAGTTCCCCACCCAGCTGCGCAGACCCGCGTCCCACCCCCACTGTCCATGCCCCACCCCAGCCCAAGGGCGTCCAGTCCCTGCCCCACCCCCAGCCCCGCCGCCGCCCTCTCCCCCCAGTGCCGGCTGCCCCTGCTCCCTGGAGGGCGGGCCGGCAGGCGGATGCTGGACACAGGCTGGCCGCTCCTGTCTGTCCCCTCACCGGTGGTGCCCAGAAGGGCCTCACCCTTTGCTTTGTGTAAACCTCACAGGAAAGAAAGGAGGGGCCCGGCTGCGGGCGGTGGGGCAAGGCCTGTGTCTGCAACCTGGGGCGCGATGCCTGCCCCGGCACTCACAGCTGCGGCTTGGAGAGTGGCCTGGCCAAGTCCGCGCGCCTCTGCTCGTGCGCAGGCCCTGAGCCCAGGTCCCCGGACATGAGGGAGCAGCATCTACCTCGCAGGGTGTGGTGGGGCGACGCGGGGGGACAGGGTGCTCCCCGACCCCACCAGGGCAGCAGGCTCTGTGCTGGGGGCACAGCTCCGGCCCACCTCCCAGCCAGGCCCACCGGCGGCCTGGCCTCAGGGGTCGCGTGTGCTCGTTGACAGCCCCCCATGAACATGGTGGGGTGTCCCCTCAGGCGCGGCTGCCACTCCCAGAGCAGGCCTGAGCCCCCTGAATGCCTGCACCCCAGGCCCCAGCCACTTGGGCCCTGGGCTGTGGGACCCTGAGGGAGAATAGGCCGCAGTTCTGGGCTGTTGCGGCTCAGCAGACACAAATCAAGGTGTGTTCCAGGTGCACGGCACACACGTGTGTGCACCCGCACTCACACTTGCACACAGCACAAGCGTGCACACACACTCACACATACATCCAAAGCACACATGCCCTCACACACACCAACGTGCGTGCGGGTGGGGGTCCCCCGCTGGGCGGCTGGGGCCCAGGCCGCACCCCGCCCAGGCCACCCAGGCTGCACCCCGCCCAGGCAGGCTCTCAATAGCGCATCTTCGCCCACGGGCCCATGTGGTAGCCAGGGCGGGCGGCACCTGCCGCAAGTTCCCTGTGGTTCTCAGCGGGCGCCCGTCCGCAGCTGCAGCTGCGCGGGTCCTGCAGAGAGAGGCCCGAGGGGCCGGGGGCGGGTGTCCGCCTGGAAGCCGGGGCCAGCTTCATCCCACTGAATGTTCAAAGGCCAGGGCACAGGTCCCCCGTCCAGCCCCTGCCCCAGTCCGGGCGCGCTGCTGGCCATGCTGGTGGGACTGGCCGGGCCCCCCAGGAGCAGACAGGCTCGCAGCCCGCGTCTGTTTGGGAGGAGGGGCGGGGGCGGGCCCCGGTTTGGCTGAGGAGCAGAAAAGCAGCCCTGGCAGCCCCTCCGGGGGGCGCTCGCGGCCACCGCGGGCTCCAAGGTGTGCGCACGGTGGAGACACGATGCAGCCGCTGTCAGGCCACCTCAGGCCAGGACCTTCCCGATTAAAGCTGATGCTACATGCCACGGCTCCCTCGTCCTCAAAATTGCCGACCTGGCCCCTCTGGCCTCACCCTCACGGGGCTCACAGCGCGGCGGGCGGTGGGGTGAAGGGCAAGGGCTCAGAGACCCGGCCCCCAGCCAGACCCCCTGCCGGGACGCCTCTGGGCGTGCCCCTCTAGCTCCAGAAGGCTCCGCTGTCACGGCCTGGGGTCTCGCTGCCCGTGTGCCTCTGGCCCTGAACGGCGCTGCAGGCCAGGCAGGCGCACGCCCGGGCCCAGCCCCGCACCTGGGCGTGTCCACAGCCCCGGGTGGCCGGAGCTGCAAGCACCACCCAGGGCGTGTGGCCAGGGCAGAGGCGCCCACGCCATCAACTGCCGAGGCCAGGGAGGCGTGGGGCGAGGACAGCCCACGGTCCAAGCTGAGGCTGGACAGCGCGAAGGCACTGCCCAGAAGCCCAGACCAGCAGTCGGCCGGAACCGCACACAGGCCCCAGGAAGCCGAGGCCCCAGGTCTCAGACGACTCTGCTGAGCAGCATGGTCCAGCCTCCCACAGCCCCCCACGCCTGACCACAGCACCCCAGACTCACTCTCCGTCTTTAGCTACACGCTCCAGCCGCAGGAGCAGAGCAGGACAGAGGCCTGGCTGCCACACCCACGGGCATAGGCGCTGGCCGCCTGAGGGCCACTGCAGGCCCGAGCTCCTGGCCCCGCCCCTGCCCTACCATCTTCCCTCCACAGGCCTGGGACTGGGGTGCACCTGCCAGAGCCACAGCCTCCCGCCCAGGAGGTGGCCGTGAGGCCAAGCTGTGGGCCTGGGGTGAGGCGCCCGGGGTGGAGCTGGACTGGAGACATCCGCCTCGGGCCACCTGAGAGGAGCACCAGGCCCTCGCTGTCCCCAGAGCAGGGACACTCCCCCTTGGGCCTGGAACGACCCCCAGAGCCACTGCCTCTGCCCAGCAAGGGTCAGCAGGCGCGGCCCCCAGCACAGCTGAGGACAGGCTTGTGCATGTGGGCGGAGCTGCTGGGATGCCGCCGAGGCTGGCGATGGGACGGAGCTGACCTTTCTGCTGTCGGGTCAGGGCGTGCGCCCACACAGCCCCCCCGGGGTGCCCCGCTGCCCAGTGCCGGAGGACTGAGAGAGGAGGCTCCGCGGCCAGTCCCCGAGTCTCCCCAGTGGGCGGCACAGCCGGCCCGGGACGCTAGGACACAGTGGAAACGGACAGCAGAGCGGGGCTCACGTGGGGTTTATTCGTCTCCCATGGGGGACCAGCTGGGGGCGCGAGGGGCCGCTCCGGCCGAGCCCTGACTTCAGGAGCAGAGACTCAGGCTGGCGAGAGGGCGGGCAGCACCTTCCCGGCACACTGGCCGAAGCCCACACGGTAGCCGTCCCCCTGGCAGTGCCCTGGAACACAGGAGGCCGGGGTCACACATGGCCGGCCCCACAGGCTCTCAGAGCGGCCAACGGGGCAGGGTGCCCAGAGCCGCCGCGGGGGTGGGGGACATGGCTGCCACGGGGCTGCCCTCCCGCCAGGGCTTGGTCTCCGGCCCCAGGTCCGCGCACGCACCAAGGCCTGGCCCTCCCGTGCGCCTGTGACCCAGGCCCCAGTTTCCTCATCTGTGAGGTGCGCGGACGAGGGCCAGCGCGGCAGACACGGGTTGCCCAAGAGGGCCGCCCCGGAGGTGGGCGTCGGCCTCGGCGGCGGGGCAGGTTGCCAGTGGGGGTGGCCGGGGCGGGGGCCCCACAGGCAGCCTCACCTGTTATGATGACCTCATCCCCGTCCAGCAGAAACTTCCTGCTCTGCCCGTTCCCCAGGTCCAGGGCCTTCGTGCCCTTCCAGGACAGCTCCAGCAGGGAGCCAAAGCTGTCCGGCTCCTGCCCGCACAGAGGGGGTGTGGTCAGCGGGCGCAGGCGCAGTAGCTCAGCCCTGGCGCCCTGGTCCAGGCCAGGGCAGTGCAGGCCGCGCCCAGCAGGCGTAGCTGGCCGGGTCACACCCAAAGGTGCCCATTCAGAAGGTTTTGGCAGGTTATTTTTTGGGTCCAAAATGTTCCCAAAATTCTGCATCTAAATTGAGGCTGAGGATCCCAGACGCAAAACTTTCCTACCATTTAAATAGGCACCCTCTACTTTGGCGCACAGGGGGGCCCTAGACTGGGCCGGACACCCCACCAACAGGACGGAGCCCCATCAAACCAGAGGCTGAAGCCGGACCCGGCACGGGGTCAGCAGCACAGCCCCGGGTGAGGGCACATGGGGGACACAGGGGCACAGGGGAATGGGGAGATGTGGGCACATGGGGTGGGAGGGACCTCATCCAGGGAGGGGCAGAGAGATGGGACAGCCAGCACCGCCTGGAAGAGGGCCCCCCCATCCTCCTGCCGTCCCCTTGGGTCAGAATGTAGAAAGGAGACCCTGACCCGGAGGCCAGACGCGCAGGCCCTCCCCGGGGTGCCCAGAGGCGGGGCCAGGCGGGTGGGGCTGGGCACTCACCGACCCACTGATGGTCCCAGATGCCAGCAGGTCCCCGGGCCGCAGGTTGCAGCCATTGACCGAGTGGTGGGTGAGCTGCTGCAGCATCGTCCAATACATGTTCTGGGGGCGCGGGTGGGTGCTCAGCAGGCCTCCCGGGAGGACGTGCTGCCCCAGAGACCTCCCGACTCTCCCCACAACCCCCTCACTCACAGCATGAGCATCCAACCTCCAGGATCAGACCTCTGGCTACACACAGGCCCCCTGCGAGGACACGCATGCCCGCCCCCGTGCGCCGTGCAACCCGGCCTGGACCCGGTGCCCCAGCAGGGCCCCCTCCCCACCCGGACACAGTGCCCCGGCTTCCTGGCACCTCAGGGGGCAGCACCAACTGCACCTTCAGAGGCAGCTCACTGGCCACGTGGCTGCTGTCCCGTCTGGGGGGGTCTCTTGACCTCATGGTCACCCCACAGGAGCAAGCAGAGGTGCTCCAGCCACCCCCACCTGGACGCGGCGATGCGGGTCCTGCCCGGAGACCCTCCCCACCCCGTAAGAGGCAGCCCCCGCGTCAAGCTCACCTTAAAATTGGATCTGCATATGGTGGCCGGCTGGCTCATCCCTTCTCCTGGGGAGGGACAGAGACAGGCACAGAGACGGGCCCCACCACCAGGCAGGGAGAAGACCCTGGAGGACTGACCACCAGCACCCACCCGCCAGGAGCCCCACGCCCAGTGCCCACGCTGCCCTCCCGGCCCAGCACCCGCCACCTCTGAGGCCGCAAGACCTCAGCTCCCTGACACAGTGCTCCCGGCAGCCCCCAGGCCCCAGGACGGGCCTTCTCTCCTCATCCAGGGCACCGGGGCCGGCCATGCAATGCCACTGCGGGGGTCAGCCCACCACCCCCACCCCCGCCCCAGCACCGGGCCTCCCAGGGCCCTGCGTCCCCTCTGACCCTCTGAGGCTGACCCTCAGAGAACAGGTGGCCCCAGGGAGCCGTGTTCCCCAAGCCCCAGCTGGGAGCAGCACCAAGCCCTGAGGGCTGCAGCGGGAGGGCCCTGGCCCGGCCCCACCCACCTGCCTGCTCTGGGCCGCACCTCCTGCCCCAGCCTTCCAGAGCCCGCCCGGATGAGGCTCAGGCTCCAGGCGCTGGGCAGGCTGCTCGGTCCTCACTAAGTGGCTGGGAGGGCCACCCCTCTAGGCCTGGGAATCCCCATGACTGTCGTGAGGGGAGGGCAGTGCTTCCTCAGGGCACCTGTGCCACCCCAGCTGGCACTCCTGCCCCGCTCCGAGGGCACCTGTCCTGGCACAGTATCAGGCCAGGCGTGTGGCGCGTGCAGACTGGCACGCGGAGAATGCAGCGGGAGGGAGAGCACGCCCAGCCGAGGCAGTACCTTTCAGGGCCACCGAGAGGTTGATGTCAAAGGTGTAGGGCTGGTCGTGGCGCAGGTATGGCAGAGGCTTGGGGTCCTGCGAGGGCAGACCAGACAAGGCGCTGGGCCCTCCTGGGGACCCCTGAGGCAGGGGCACTGAGCTGTCTCGCCTAAGAGCTAGGTGGGGGAAGCTGTGGGGGGGGGTGCCCACAGGAAGGGGTGGTCTCTGGGCCTCGGTGCCTGCTGGGCTGGAGGTGCTGGAAGCAAGGCAGGGGTGGGGTGGGGGTGGGGAATGGGGTGGGGGAGCTGGGTGCCTGGAGCTGGGCGGCAGGGGAGAAGCTGGGGGGGTTGCCAGGGCAGGAGGCCAGTGGAGCTGTACTGCGGGGCCTCCCTGCTGAGGACAGGGCATGGGGAGGGGACAGAGCCAGGGAGTCACCCCCGAGGGGCAGGGGTCAGAGGGGCCAGGAGCCGCTCTCCACTCCCGCCCCTTGCCGCTGGCTAACTCCCCCAGCTCTGAGGGGCTCCGAGGCTACAGAAGCCCCCGTTTCCCCAAGAGCAGGCCCGCCCGGCACAAGACGCCCCGCTCACCTGCTTGGGGTTGGGGATGGCGAAGGGCAGCAGCGCGTCCATGGGCACCACCCACGGGGAGATGGTGGTCCCGAAGCTCTTGCCCAGGAAGGGCCCGAGCGGCACGTACTCCCACTTCTGAATGTCTCGGGCTGGGGGGAGGGGCCGCGTCAGCCCGAGCCCACCCTGCTTGGGCCCCGCGCGCGCCCAGGCCCGTCCTCGCGCCCCCCACCCGCCCCGCCCGCGCCCCGCCCCGGCCCGGCCCGCACACCGCTCCAGTCGTTCATGAGGACCATCCCGAAGATGTGCTCGTGGGCCTCGGAGATGGGGATGGGCTCTCCGAAGCGGTTCCCGGGCCCTACAAAGAAAGCCTGCGGGGCACGGGTGAGCGCCCAGCCGGGCGGCCGCCGGGGCACGTGCTTGGAGGGCGGAGGTCAGGCCTTCCCGAGCCCGGGCAGCGCAGGCAGCCGGCGCAGGGCCCGCCGGCCATCCGTGCCCGTGCTGGGCGGAGCGGGCAGTCCTCATCGCGGCAGCCAGCGCCCCTCGGACCACACCGGGAAATCGGGGCGGGGCTGGGACCTCCTTCCAGAGGAGCACCCGCCGTGTGGGGCTCGGGGCCTCCCCGCCCTGGCACCGCGGGGGGACGCAGCCCCATGGCTGGCCAGGGCCCTGTCCCGGAGGCTTGAGCCCCTCAGCCAGCGAGGAACCAGCACAGCCGCGCCGCGGGGGTCGGGGCGCCCTGCACAGGACAAGCGGGACAGGGCGTCCGCCAGGGTGGGAGCCTCCAGGCCCAGCCTCCGCTCGGGGCCCAGTGCGGGTCTGTGCTGACTGGCGCTGGGGACGCAGCCCGGGCCCCTCCTCTGCGAGGCACAGAGGGCCTCTGCCCTTGGGGGCACTTCAGGGCAGAGTCGCCAAAGAAGAGCACAGGCCCTGGACTACGGTGGCACCCGTGGCCGTGCGAGGGACGCGCTGCTGGACCAGGTGGCCAAGTGCTGCCCAGGAAGCTCACCCTGCGGCCCGGAGGACCCGGCTCTGGGTGCCGCCAGGGCTACCCGCAGTGCAGGAGTGAGACCGGGACGGGAACCACGGACATGACCGGCGGGGACAGGAGCTACCAGGGGTCACCCAGACTCCCGCTCACCATTTCCAACTCAATGTCCAGGAGCTTGCAGGGCCCGAACACGGGAGGCTTGGCTGTGCGGCACAGAGAGCCCGGTGAGCCAGGCGCCCTCACACCCCGCCCCCCGCGGGCGCCCTCCCTCGGGCCCAGCTCTCACTCTCATCCGGCCGCATCTGCCCCAGGGGCCTGCGGATAGGGGTGCCGGACACCACGATGGAGGAGGCACGTCCGTGGTAGCCGACAGGCAAGTGCAGCCTGCAAGGGGGGTGGGGAGGCGTCAGCAGGCGGTCTGCTCACCACGCCCCGCAGGGTTTTTAAGACTTAAAGACAAAAAGGAAGAGCTGACCTATGACCCTAAGGCCCAAGCAGAGCGATGGACACCCTGCGGGGGCCAGCTTGGGGGCGGGGCCGGCCAGGTCGCGGCGGGAGGCGGGTGCCCAAGGGGACCAGGAGATGCTCCCTCCCGGCACCCACCAGTTGGGCATCAGTGCGTTCTCCTTGCCCCGGAACATGATGCCCACGTTCGAGGCGTGCTGCCGCGAGGAGTAGAAGTCCGTGTAGTCGCCTGCAGGCCAGAGACGCGGGGTGGTCAGCGGCCGGCGCCTGGACGCGGGCGGGAGGGGCGTGGCGCGTGGTGGGCGGGGTGTCCGCAAGGCGCCGCGAGGACCCGCTGGGGCTCCCGAGACGAGCTGGCAGTCGGGAGCCGCCCTCTGGGCCAAGGGGGCACGTGTGTGGCCTGAGTAGCCGCTGCCCCGGCAGCCCCCAAGCGGCCGGGCGTGCCCCCCAGTGCCCCTGCGGTGCCCACAGAGCCGCGCTCTCCCTGGGGCCTCCCTCCCCGGGGCAGCGCCTACCCCTGTGCTGGCTTCCTGCCCCCTCCCAGGGCCAAGACCACCTCCCCATCTGTCTCGTGGGGCCCTGGGAGGGGCTGGCACCCGCTCCCCGGCTTCCTCGGGGAGTCAACTGCCAGAATCTACAGGACAAACCCGTTGGGCAGTTCGCCTGCCTGCGCGGCTCGGAAATCTCTCTCCAAAGCGGCCAAGCTGGTCCAGACCAGCAGCTGGGGCCAGAGCCAGGCTGGCAGGGAGGGGAGGCCCTGCACCCCTTCGGGCCCAGAAGAGGCACAGCAGGCATTTCCCCCAACAGCCGACCCAAGAGGAGGCCAGGCGGGGGTGCCAGCAGGGGTGCCCACTGTCTGGCCAGGGGAGGAGGGCACAGTGAGGCCTGCCTGCTGCCAGGCTGCTCCCCCACTTCTGCGCCAGGGCTCCAGGGAATCCGTGGGGGCAGGGGGGCAGCGCCTGCTCTGGCACACCGTTCCCGAGACCGGGCGCACACTTCCTGTGGCCTGGGTGCCAGGACTCCATCAGCCAGCTGTGGGGGCAGGGCCAGGGGCTGGGGCGCTCTCTGGCCCTCACTACCACCCGTGTCTCAACTGCTGGGCCCAGCACCAGGTGCCTGTCCAGGGATGGCACCGTCCAGTGGGGCTCCTGTGGCCACAGCATGGAGCTGGACGAGGCTGGGGTGCCCTCCGCAAGGCTGATTCAGCCTGGAACGCTGGACCCCAGTGTCCAGGTCTGAACAGCACCTCGTCCAGCTGGCACCGGGCTGAGCTCTTGACAGCCCAGCTACTGTCCTGGGTGGCCCTGGGCTAGCGGGAACTCACTCACCTATGGTGGCCGGGAGGTGCATGGTGGCAGCCGCCTGGGGCGTGAACGCACTGAAATGAACCAGAGCCAGGGCTGCAAATCTAAGCAAGGACACGGGGTCCCCGCTGCAGCCCCCATGAGGGCTGAGCCCAGGCCCTTCCCAGAACCCCCTGGCAATTCCCAGCAGCTCTCGGGCAGGCCACCTGGGAGGGCCGCCCCCCTGACTACCCAAACCTGGGGCTGCTCTTCTGGAGGCCGGAGCCGGGGCGCAGGGGTACGGCCAGCAGTGGTGGTGACCCTGCAGCCCGGCCACGGCCGCCGAAGCCCTCGAGCACAGCCCTGCTGGACCCCCGCCCGGGCAAGGGCGCCCGCTCACCGCTCCCGGAGCGCTGGGTCGTCCCTGAGCCGGGCCTGGCGGGCGGACAGCAGGTCCTGCAGACAGGCTCTCGCCTCCTTCCAGGCGGCCTGGCCCAGGCCCATGAAGGTGTTGAGCGTTGGCTGGGACAGAAAAGGGGAAGGCGAGGTGTGGCGAAGCCGGGAGACAGCAGCAGCCCCTGCCGCTCAGGTGCAGACCCCGAGCCCCAGGCCCGCCTTGCCCTGCACGGGCCTGGCCTCTGCAGCCCCTGCACGGACCGCGGCACCCACCTCATTGAAGACATCCTGGTGCTGGGAGAGAACAGGCCCCGTGAACAGGTGCCTGATGGCGCTGAGGTCCAGGATCTGGTCGCCAATGGCCACGCCGATCCTCGGTCTCGCCTGGGGAGACATGCTGGCGCTCAAGCTCTCTAGTGGGGTGGCCTCCCCTCGGAGGGCCCTGGAGGCTGGGGCCGTGGAGCTGGGGCATGAGCACCCCCCCCCAGCTCCCTCCTCCCGCGACCCGGGGTGGCCTGAGCCCCAGGAACCCGTGTTCACCCAGAAGGGAGGTCCCAGGCCTCCGTGGGTGGGAGGGGAGTCCCTCCAGGCAAGGCTGCACCCCGCTGGGTGGCCCCCGCAGCCGGCAGTGGGGTGGGGGGCACTGGAGTGCACTCGGCAGCTCAGACGTGGGGAGGAGAAGGGAAGCTCCCAAGGGCTGTGAGCGGAGAGTCTGTCCACTGCCCCGAGCCTGTTGTCCACGGGAGCCCAAGAGCTCTGCAGATTGGCCCTGGCCCTCCTCCGCAGAGCCTCCTGGGCCTCCCGGCCTCAGCCTGCCACTGCCCTCCCGGGCATGGAGAGGGGAGCAGCTGTGTGCGCACTGTGCTCATGTGGGGCATCTCTCACGCAGCCAGCACATGACACCACACCCCCACCTGGCCCTGAGGCTGCCACCCCAGTGCCTGGTACCCCCAGTTCCACTGTGCCCCCCTGCACCTGAGCCCCCCTCTGAAAGAAGCAGAGCGCTGGGTCCAGGGCTGCCCCCAGGGGACATGCAGAGACTTGTTTTCTGAGGCCCAGCTGGGGTCAGGAAGGGCACCCCAGAAGCACCTGCTAGCCCAGTCTACAGCCTGGAGGCCACTGCCAGGCCACAGGCACAGCGGGTGCTCCCCGAGCTGGCACCCACGGACCCCAGACCAGGCTCCCCCCCAAATCCCAGAAGCAGCTTCCTCAGCTGCGCAGGAGCAGCTCCAGCCGGGTGCAGCCCACGCCTGCTCTCTCCCAGCAACTGCCCCAATAGGGCCCAGGCCTTGCGGACCTCACAGGGCTGACCAGGAGGGCCCGGGGCCTCTAGAACGCACAGCCAGCTGTGTCCACATCCTCCTAAGGCGAGCACCCCACTCGTCTGGGAGCTGGACACGTGACCTCAGTGCTGCCCCGACCCGCTGGGCCGCCTGACGCGGGGCGCCTCCTAGCCTCCGTTTCCTTGGCTGTGACGGGCGACGGCGCGGGCCTTGCTCGAGTCCCCTGGGCAGCATTCCGCAGGCCCAGGACACATGGGCGACGCTCAAGCCTTGCTCCTGCCCCCACCCCTCCGACGGGAGCTGCGGGGCTGTTCGGGGAGGCGAACCCTGCGCAAGAAGGAGGACTCTGGCGGCAGAAAGGCGGGTCCCGACATGAGGCCGGCTCTAAGTGGCGGCCACCTGGCCAGGAGCAGGGAGCCAGTCAGCAGCCCACAGCGGCCTCCCCCTCTCGGGTTCCTCAGCCCTCAGCACCTCTGAGGAAGGACTCGCCTTCCCGGCCAGAGCCTGGCGGGGAGCTGGACCCGGAGCACTGGCCAAATAAGAGAATGAAGGAAGGGACTGGTCAAGTCACAATTGCTGCGCCAAACTATGGAGGGGGCCTCCCTGTGGCCCGGGGTCAGTCTCAGGCTGTCACCGCTGCAGCCTGAGTTGGTGCCCGGCCAGGGAGCTGACCCACAGGAAGCAGCTGACCCCTCCTGTCCCCCGCTGCCCCCTCAGCCGTGGATCTCAGTGGATCCGCCTGTTGTGCTCCCCACTCTGTCTCTGGGGAGTCCCCTCACCCCCACCGCCAGCCTGCACCCTGATCCTTGTATGCATAAATAAATGAATCTTTAAAAAAAATCTGAAGGGCTGGTGGCCGGCAAGGGAGGACGAGCAACTGGCCGGCCTGGAGGGGCGCCACCCTGCAGAGGAGCCGGCACGTGCTCTCCGGGGATGGGACGCCCCAGACCCGGCATGCCCGGGTGCCGGTGCCCAGTGCGGGCCTGGCCCGAGCCCCGCGCCCTCTCTGCTGGCCACCCCCACCAGCCTCAGCCACGCGGCCTGGAGGGCTGCTGGGCCAGTCAGCGCCGGTCTGGGCCGCCACGCCCCTGTTTGTGTGTGCGACCTCCAGGGGCCAGGGGCTAACCTTTGGGCCCTTGCAACAGGCGGCCAGCGGCCCCTTGTGAAAGGCCCTGCTACCTGGGCCAAGGTGGCAGGGAGCCAGGGCCCGGGCAGGGAGGGCCGGGGAGGGGGCTGGGGAGGGGGAGGGGGATTCTGGGGCGCTGCAGAGCAGACCCCAGTCCACGGGGGATGGGGGGTGGGGGGAGCCCTGAGCAGCCGGGCTTCCTGGCCTGGCCTTTCGACAGATGTGCTGAGAATCCCGCGGTGTCCAGGGGTTTCTCGCTGCCAATCGACTTCGCCCAGAGCCAGCTGGAGGAGCTGGCGGGGGCGGGGGCAGGGCGGGCACCCCGCGGGCCGCAGCGCGGCGGGTCTCAGAAGTCCAGCCAGCGCCCGCGCCTCCGCCCCGCCCCTGCGTCCCTGGGGTCTGGGGTCCGCGGAGAGGCGCCCCGGGAGGCTGCCGGGCCCCGGACCCCACGGGCGCCCGCGGGAGGGGCAGCGCGCGGCGGGCGCGGGTGAGGCCGGCGGCCGCGCCCCGAGGGTCCCCAGGGGCCCCGCCCCGCCCCCGCCCCCGCGCGGGCACCTGGCGCGCGCTGGAGAAGACGCCGTAGGGCAGGTTCTGGATGGGGAAGTCGCAGTCCGCGGGCACCGGCACGAAGGACATGCTGGCGAGCTGGCGGGGCGCGGCGCGGGCTCGGCGGCGAGGGCTGCGGCTCGGCTGGACGGCAGGCGGGCGGCCGCGCGGACTCTGGCCCTGCGCTCCGCCCGCCCCGCCGGCCCGGCCCGCCCCGGCCCGCCCCTCCGGCCCGCCCCGGCCCGCCCCTCCGGCCCGGCCCGGCCCCCCCTCCGGTCCGCCCCGGCCCGCCCCTCCGGCCCGGCCCGCCCCTCTTTCCGCAGGTCCATCTCCGCGGAGCGCGACCCTGGCTCTAGAGGGACCCCAGGCGTCTTCCGCCCGGGGCGCCTCAGTCTCCCCCGCGGGGTGCCGGTGCCGCCGCTGGCTGCACAGCCGGGACAGACGGGAGGGCCCGGGAGGGGCTTGGAGCCGGCCCAGGAGGGGAAGGACGCGGCGGGAAGGGGGTGCAGGGAGGTGTCCCGCGCCTGCCGGCCTCGCTCCCCAGCACCTCTGGGCTGCAGGGCCGCTTGCCCTGAGCAGGAGCAGCGGAGCCGGTTTGTGCAGCACCTGCGGGCACCTGCGGGCCTGCTGGCACGCGCCGGGCAGGGGCGCCCCGGAGGCGGGCACAGGCCAGCCTCCCCGCCTGAAGCCACAGAGATGGCAGCACGGCGCGCAGGGTCCTGGTGTGGCCCGGCATGGCGCTCACCGCAGTGCGTCTGCAGGCGCCAAAGCTGTTCTTTGGAAAACTCACCACAAGCGACTGGAAAGTTCTATTTTCTTTCCGTCTTTGCATTTTTTTTTGGGGGGGGGCAGGGAGCATGTACAGCCATGAAAGATAATTTTAAGGGCTCATGCACCTGGCGCCACCCCCATGCGGTTTCAGATTTGCATGTTACTCCCCCCCCCACCTCCCTCCCCGGCACATTCCGGAGCCTAGTTTCCACGTTACCAGGCCAGGAGCGCCCATGTGTCTCCTCTCAGCACGCAGCCATCTGTGCCCTCCCCCTGCGCCAGCAGGTCCTCGAAGGCCTGCCCGGCTGGGAACGGCATGTCGTGCGGCCGCACAGGACAAGCCAAGTCGCCAGGATGGCCACCCAAGGCCCAGACGCTTCAGGGCGCCAGAGGACCCAGGCTAGGCTGCGAGCCCAGAGGGGCCACCATGGATCCTCTGCCCCAGCCCCACCGTCGGGGTCTCGGGGCCTGGAGCCGCCTTTCCACAGCCCTGGCCGCCTGGCTTTGAAGCCGGATCCCGCCAAGCGTCCGGCGACCACGGGCAGCAGCCTGCCTAGCGGCCCTGCTGCCACGCCGCCTGGACCAGCCCGCGGCCGGCCCTGCGTCCTCGCGGCAGGCGTTTCGGGAAGCGGAGTCAGGTGGCCCTAGCAAGGCGGGCACAGGGGGCACGGGGTGTCCTGACGACCTCTCGTGACCCCAGCACCCAGGCGAGGGCTTTGGGGACACTTAACCACAAAAACTCAACATGGAGGCTGATTCAACCTCCAGCTGCCAACATGGGCAGGACGATGGCTTCCCGCGCGGCTGTCCTCCCCCAACACAAGGCTTGGCCCCTGCTGGCAGAGCCTCACCGGCCCCCCGCCCCTCACGGTGAGCCCGGCCATCTCCGCGGGTCCACGGCGCCCGCCCAGCCCGCAGGGAGCACCAGCCATGCACAGGCAGGCGGCGGCCCTGGCAGCGGGGGCGGGGCGTGGAGGGCGTGTGCCGGGTGTGGAGGGCGGCACGGCACGTTATGGAGCGTGTGAACTCTTAACTTCTGGGGTAACCCCAAACCTCCCAAGGCCCAACCCCTCTGTCCGCGGACCCAGCCACACCCAGGCGGGAGGCGCAAGGGGTCCCCACCTGCCGCCAGAGGGTGCTCAGGGCTGGCTTCTCACTGTGGCTCCCCAACCTCACTGGCTTTGAAGAAGGGGCGCCGGGCGGCTTCCCAGGACTGGACACCAGGCTGGACAGACCCCAGAGCACCCTCCGGCTTCTGCCCGGTATCCAGGGCGACTTCTGCCCCAGCAACGCTGCCGCCTGCGCCATGGGCGCCAAGTCCCCGCGCGGCCAAAGCACACTCGGTCGGCTGCCGGCGCCGGCGGGCAGATCCTCGCCACAGAGGGCAGCCAGAGCCCCCTCACACGACGCCCGCCTACACCGGCCGGCGATTCTCTTGGCAAACCCACCCCTTTGCAAGTGGCTCTTGCCTCCACTGAAGTCTGGGCCAGCGTCCCTCACTCTCTCTCGTTACAGTAATCCTGCCCTTCCAGGGATTAAACAGCAACCAGCCACGGGGCCTCCCTGGTGGCGCAAGGGGTTAGGCACAGCGCTGTGAAGCTGTCCGCAGCCTCTGCAGCACAAGTTCCATTCCCGGCCAGGGAGCTACCCACAGGGCGCAGCAGACCTCTCCTGCCACCCGCTGCTCCCCTCAGCAATGTACTTCGTCAGTCTGCCTGTTCTGCTCCCCACTCTGTCTCTGGTGAATCTTCTCACCCCACACACCTCTGGCCTGCACCCCAGCTCTTGGATGCATGAATCTTTAAAAAAAAAAAACAGAAAAAAATGAGCCAAGCAGAGGCCCAGAAGTTGAGGTGCCGCTGGTAAGAATGAGGGCGCGCGCCAGCGGAGGAGCCATTTCCTTTATTGAATCAGAGGCTGGTGCGAAACAGAAAACAGTGCGGCCCCACGCCCTCCCCTCCGCGCGGGCCAGGACGGCCCCCTCCCCGCGCAGAGGACGTAACAGTGGGGCGCAGAGCAAGCGCCGGCAGAGGCGGGGCCTTGGTCAGAGAGAAGCGCGGGCCGGCAGGCGAGTCCAGGTCCGCGCGGTGCGAGCAGGGTCCCTGGAGGGCGCGGAGGAGGCTGCGCAGAGCGGCGGCACCGCGGGAAGTCGCCCTCCGGGCTTCAGGCATCACAAGCCCTCTGCGCTCAACTAGAATTAGAATGATCTTAAAAGGATAATACTTGTAAAGTTTACTTAAGTCTTTTCAGCACAGAAACTGCAATGGAAATAAATGTTCAGAGTCATTTTCAAAACAAAAACAAAAATCTATTCTTCCGGTGACATGCGTGATTAAAGGCCTATCAGACGCTGCTCTACGTCCAAGGACTAGGAAAAAAACTCAAGTCAGTGTTTAGTTTGCAGATGGCCAAGGACTTTGTATTCCAGCAGGAGCTCAAATCTTCTGGATCTTTTCGCCGACAACGACTGGGTTTTCTTTCCGGATCCGCTCGGCAGCGTCGGCTCTGTAATTGTAAGGGCAGCTGTGCACGTCGGAGTAGCGGTGCGCGCCGCAGTACACGTTCCCGCACCGGCATTCGAACCCTGGAAATGGACGACAGCACAGGTGAGTGGGCAGAGGGTGGCAGGCGGGCCCAGCAGGGGCACCCAGACACCCACTGCGCCGCGCGCCTCCTCGTGCGCCTCTTGCCCACCGCCCGGCCGTCCACTAGCACCGGGCATGATGGCTGCGGCCTGGCGAGCACCTGCCAGGCGGGAAAGCGCAGCCACCCCCGTACTGGCTGCCGGAGGTGGGCCCAACCTCCTCCTGGCAGGATCCCCCGGGTCAGGCCCTGCACCGCGGGCTTGCAAGCGGCTACTCCCTGACCGAGTCCGCAGCTGAGCCTCGAGCCTGTTTCTGCATCTGTGACTCTGGAGAGTGACGGGGGAGTGGGAGGCCCTTCACATAAACAGTAACATGCAAGCGACTTGTTTTAGGAAAGTGGCCCAAGGGTGGAGGCCGAGAGCTGAGCCGAGTGTGGACTGCTGCCTCGGGCGGCCCACTGTGCCCACAGGATGCCACGGCTGGGTGCAGACTGGGGTCGGCGTTCTCAGCACCTGACTTGGAAAGGACCCTTGTGCTATGCCTGGCAGGGGTCTGGGCTGCAGGAGGTGTGAGGGCTGCACTGAGACTGATGCCGACTTCCTGGGCCCTTGGATTTCACTGTCATGACATCCGGACCGCCGTGAGCACGACTGGAAGGTGAGGCCAACAAGAAGGGCTAGACCGGTGGACGGCAGAAAGAGAACCACCAGGCCTTGGTCTGAACCTAGAAAGACGGCCTCGAACACGGGCAGGGCCTCAGGGGGACTTCGGTGTCTGTTCACGTCCACAGGGGACAGCGGAACCTTCCTCTCCTGCCCGCCTGCGCTGTGTGCCCGCCCTCAGCATGCTGGCCGGCAGTCTTGCTGCGCGTCCCCGCTCCCGGGCAGACTCTCAGGGAAGGTCCTCAGCCCTGGCCTAACCCAGCGAGCACCAGCAGCCTCTCGGCTCTGCTGCCCCGGCCCGCCCGGCCAGCTGGCAACCCCCTCGCTCCCCTCCCTGAGCTTCTGTCCAGCTCTTTCTGCCTGCATGCCTGTCCCCTCGGTGCCAAGTCCAGCTTGTCTGCCCAGAACCTCTGGCACAGGCACCTGCACTCGCCTCTGCTCACCCTTCTTTTACACGAACTCCCTCCTTCGCTGAACCCCAGAGCGCCTGTTTCCTGCCAAACATGACAGCCCTGCCTGGAACGCCTGGCTGCCCCTCAGCACCCCGGGACACCGTGCTCCTCCCCAGGAGACTGCCCTCCGACCCCGCCCGTGCCAGCACCGGGCCTCACCTGTCCATGTGCGTAAAGAAGAGCTGTTCATTTCACTTTTGGATACATAAGTAAACTATTTTTATTTCTCTTAAGAAAACTCACACACCGAAGCGAGTCTCAGCTCCCGGACGGGCAGCCCTAACAGCTGGGCCCGCCTTCCCGGCCTTCCCCGGCGGCGGGCCGGGTCCTTACCAGTTAGCCCCACCTTCTTCCTGCACATGAAGCAGCGATTCTTCTTCTGTTTTGGCTTCTCAAGGGATTTGCTTTGCTCTTCAGAGGGCGGCTGCGCCACATCTGACGCCGAGGCTGACAGAACAGGAAGGCAGCGCGGTGTCATTAAGTGATAAGACCCACGCGCCGGGAAGCCACGGCCCCAGGGGGTGACAGGTATCTGGTGCACCTGCATTGGGGCGCGTGGCACACGGGAAACAGAAAACACAGGCCCGCGCTGTGCTCGCAGCTTCTCCAACACACGCCGGGCCAGTGGCGGCGGTAGCGCACGTGCACGCCTGGCATCCCGGGGAGTGTGTGAGGGGCGCCCTGTGCCGACGCACATATTGGGCCGGTGCTGAGGCGCTTGGGGACAAGGTCCAGCCCGAGCCATGACACGATGTGTGTCGGGCAGTCCCAGGCGTTCACGTGAAACCTCTGAGCTCAAGGACAGACAGGTGATGAAGCTGAGCTGCCGTGTCCCTGCACGAGCCAAGGCCAGCACCCAGGCTGCCACGAGGACGCCCCCAGCCCCGTGCTCCCAGACACCTCCATTAGGTCCGCCACCCTGAGATGTGCATCCACACGGCGTGGCCCAGGCCTCCCCAGCTCGGGCTCCAGCCGACCCTGCCAGGAACCAGCCCACATCTGTGAGAGGTGCCGACTGGCATGCCGGGCCCTCACTGCAGCTCTAAGGGTCTCCCCTTCCCCCCGCACTTCACCCAGGTCCTCTCCCCATTCTTAAGGCGGAGCTCAGGGGCCAAAGCCAAGGCTTGCCACGCCGCCTGCCCGTGCCAGGGAGCAGCTGGCCTGTGTGGGGGTGGCCACCTCGAGCTCAGCAGCAGCACCGCAGGCCAGTGGCAACCGGGCGCCTCCCGGGGCTGATCTCCCAGACCCCACGGGCAGCAGGACCTATGGCTCAGCCTGGTGCCCACGCTCGAGACTCTCCTCAGCCAGGCCCACCCCACACAGGGAGGCGGCCTTGCTCAGCGCGGGCCTCGAGGCCAACAGCATGTCCACTCAGGGAAGACACGGCACCCCGCCCTACCCCACGGCCATGAGGAGGGCCTGCACGCTGCTGTCCACCAGCACGGCGTGCCCAGCTACGCAACAGCACCAGCCCCACAGCCCGGAGGGCCCCACCGACCTTGCAGGTCTTCTGTCTCAGGCGCTGCTTTGTCCACAGACGTGCTGTCCACTTGGGAAGAGGCTACCGATTCTGATAAAAGTGACTGATTTGATACAGGGCTGGAAAAGCAAAAGCATTCAGATTGAAAGGTGGTCCCGGACAGTAACTGCAAGGGCAGCGTGGGAGCTGCATATCTGAGTGGGCTGTGGCGCCTCACGGGGCCCTGGAGTCAGGCCGCGGGGGCCAGCCCACCTCGGGGGGAAGCCACAGCGTGAGTGGCATGACCTGGCTCGGGGAGACAACGTTCCTGCAGGCCACGCCGTGTGCCCCAGCCCCAGGAGAGGCACAGGCCGCCTCTGACAGCAGGAGACAGGTGGGGCAAGCGTCCATCTCCTTAGGTTCCTGGGGGACGTGACTTCAGAGCCAGAAAGGAGAAGGGCGCCCGAGGCCTGGCACTAGCCGGGAGCTGGAGTCGGGACCTGTCCCAGCAAGAGACACAGGGAGCCCAGCCCTCTGGAGGAGGGTGGGCCAGGGATGCCTCCTCGCTGGTTGGGCCGGGTGGTCTGGGGCTCCCTGCCTGGGCTGAGGGATGACGTGTGCACCCCACCCCACAGAGCCTCCTACCTGGGCTGTGTGGATGGCGACGTGGACTCCAGCGCAGGAGGAGCCTCCGCGGCCCCGACATCTGTGCACTGGACAGGCAGGGGCTCGGAGAGGCTACCAACAGAGGCTGCTGCGGGGACACCGTGGGTCAAGGACCTGTCCTCGGCGGTGCCTGCCAGGGCAGACCAAACCCAGGCCCACCCGCCGCCCACCCATGAGCCGCTGGCTCGCTGCACTCAGTTAAAAAACCCGGGGCTTTGGGAGCGGAAGGATGTCTGTTGAACCACACCCCCACGGTCAATGTGAAGAGATGAACTTCCAGGACGAATGGCTGGGCGCCCGTGTCCTGGTCACAAATGTCCCCCGGGGGTGGAGCCCTGGGGCGGCCTGCACACTGAGGCCGGGCCCGCAGGCTGAGAAACCGCTCCCAGCAGCCGGGAAGGTGCTGCCCCCGCTGTGTCTCGGTGCAGAAGACCCAGAGGGGTAGCATCCCCATGGGCCTGGCCCTGGGCTTCCACGTGGGGCAGCGAGGAGACAGCCGCAGCCTAGACGGCCTCCGAGGCGCCAACGTGGCCCAGCTGGAGGCCACCACAGCTGTCCTCTCCACAGCTGCTCCTCAGAAGCCTTCTCAATCTGCTCTCGCAGCTGCCGACACAGAAGCCCGTCTGCAGGGCTCTGGAGGACCGGTTCAGGAGGGCAGAGCAGCCCCGCCCCCAAGGCGAAGCCAGGTCCAGCCAACGACCCGCCCGCCTTCCCCAGGGCCCCTTGCTGCCCCACCCCACCCTACTCGGAGACAGGATGCTATGCAGGGATGGGGCACTGGCTCCCCGTGGATGACGGCCCGGACAGGCTCACCAGGTGGGCTGATCCTGCCGCCGTTGTTCTGTCTCTGGAGGTGCTCCTTGTAGCACACGGAGCACATGCCGTTGGTCCGGGGGTTCCCGTAGAACCCGCAGCCGGTGGAGCACAGCATGGGCGCCTGGCTGTGATTCGCCTCTTGAGCCATGTTCTTCTGCTGGGCACCTATAGACAACACAGGGTCAGCAATGTGGACACGCGACCGTCCACCACCCGCGTCCACTCCACATGCCAGGGAGACCCACAGGCGACCCCGCTCCTGCCCCACACCGCCTCTCGATGGGAAAGAGGGCGGAGAAGGCCCATGGGCTAGCAGGCGGGGCTGCTGTCAGGAGCCCTTAAAGCCCAGGCCATGGAGGGCGGTAGGTCCGCCTTTCACACCAGGGCACCGTCGCCTGTTCCAAGTCTGCACCCACGAGCAGACAGCAGGCAGGGCTGGCCACACGGGCCGGGGTCCCAACACACAGGCAAGGCACGCGTGCGCCTGCCAACAGCACGGACAGTGGCGGCGCTCTCAGCCACAGACGCACAGGGTGGCAAGGGCCTGCCAGGGGAGGGCTAGGCTGCAGGTCAGGGACACTGCCCAGGCCTGACCCACCTCCCAATAGCCATGTAGGCCAGGACCCGCCCTGGCCGGCACCTCCAGCCCAGGCCGCCGCGCCAGCCCCCGCCACGGGCAGCGGCTTCACTCCCCAAGCACAGCTGCTGTCGACGGCGCTGATGGTGCAGAAACGTGCACCTCAGAGAGGGCACCAGGAGGTCCCGTCAGCAATTTGGGGGTGGGCACTGGAAGAGCTCGCCGTGGCAGCAACCTGGTGACCAGCACCCCATCCCATGGAATCCAGATGTGCCAGGAGAAGCTGAAGACCATGGTGCAGAGGACAAGACGCAGAGTGCACGGGCCCCGAGCAGTGTGGCCGCCAGAGGGGGAGCCTGCCCAGAGCAGGGGGAGGGGAGGGGCCGATCTGCAGGGCCCACGGCCCACAGAAGACGCGACAGCATCCATTACAGAAGGGCTGCCCCACTGAGCGCTACCCAGAAGGAGCTCACACAGCGAGCAGCAAAGGAGCTTCCGGGCAGACGTGCCACCGAGCCAGCACTGCCTGGACAACCTCCTCGGCTAGCACCGCACCTGGAGGTGCACAAGGCGGCTCCCAGCAGGGACGGCCTCACTGACCTCTTGGCGGCGGCGGCGGGGGGCCCACAGCTCCAGCGGTCGTGCTCACACAGCCCGGGCGCAGCTGTCCAGCAGCAGTCCCTCCAGGCCTGGCCGCAGCGAGGGCGCAGCGTGGCAGCTGGGGAGGAGAGGAGAGAGTCAGTCTCCTAAGGGCAGTTCCAGGCTTCGCCAGCTCTGCCTGGTCACAGCCGCTCCCGCGTGCACTGTGGGCAGCAGGGGCCTACATCAGGGCGCCCTCTTCCCGCAGGCCCAGGCCATCTGCTGAGGCGGCGACCGTACTCCTGCCACCCAAGACGCACACTGCGGTGCAGGACAGGGCACCTGAACGGGGCCCAGGAAGGCGCAGGACACCGGGCCGCGACCCCTCCAAAGCTCCAGCCCTGAAGCCCGTCCCTCCGTGCTCCAGTCACTCAGATGCAAAGTTTCTGGAAGTGCCAGTCTGCTGACGCCCCCACCCCCACACAGGTGAACCTGCAGTCGACGACCACGCCCGCCCCACTGTCCCATCCCAGGGCTCTTGCGGGCGGGCTGGGGGCGGGGACCGCAGTGCCCACCAGGGCTGAAGGGCAGCAGCGACCCCACGCCGCCACGGGAGCACGAGTCCGCGCTGACCGGACCCCGGGTCCCAACCCTGGGAACCCCGCAACCAGCCCCGGCCCCACACCTCACAGGCAGGCTCAGGTCAGCCGGACACAGTGGCGCAGACCCCCAGGGGAGGTCACAGGGCCACGGCCTGCCCCGCCTGCCCCCGACATAGCGGACTCGCTCTCGGGAGCCTGCGGGGCTGGAGGGCACTGTGGGGACCCCCGCGGCCAGCCACACGGGGAGCGGAAATCAAGGATGGGGAGGGCGGGCAGAGGCCACACATGGGCATCAGTGAGCGGCTTCCTGGGTCTACGCCCGGGCTCTCCCCGCCCCCGCCGGCACCCCCAGGTGCCCCCAGTCTCTGGGGGTGTCTACACTGTGGAATTGCCGCCGCGTGCCCGCCCGGGGCTTGTTTTCACTGCTCGAGGACTCTGCCTCTCAGCTGTGGGGGCGAAGCTCGCATGCGGTGGCATCAGGGCCGCCGCGCCCTGTCCTGTGAGGACAGAGCCGGGGGGCTGCCAGCTGGGCAGCAACTCCGCGGGGGAACCGGCGGCCCTCCGCAAGCTCATCCCTCAGACGTGTCCTCCTGACTTTCAGGGGCCGCTAGCAACACAGAAAGTAAGACGGAGACGCTTACCCAGTGGGGCGGGCAGGGCCTGGCGGCCCGGTCCCCTTCCCAGGACGTCTCACCCCTCGGAGGAAACGACTGAGACCGCCCCGTGGCCCCACCAGCCGCACAGCATAGAAGGCGCCCGCCCACCTGCCCGCCCCAAACCCCACAGCAGCAGCCGCTCCCCGCCCCCCCCATCCCGCCCCGCTAGCATCCCTGCGAGCCTGCTGGCGGCACCGGGGTGCGAAGCCACCTCAGCCCCTGTGCTGCCTCCCAACGTGGGGCCCTGTGTCTAACAGATGCCAGAGGAAGACTATTTCTGCAACACCCCAAAAGCTCCAAAGGCCTTTAGAGAACTGGGGTGCCCACAGCTCCAGGAACCGCGCCCCCAAGCACCCGCACTGCCCTGTGGACAAAGCCCCGAGGGGCAGCCTGGAGCAGAGTCACGCACAGGCCTGCCCCGGGCCCCTCCAGGGTGCTCTGCCCAGCGTCCTCCAGAAAGCCACTCAGGCCGAGCGCCGCCAGCGGAGGAGCACGGCGACAGCGGGCAGGACCGAGGGCTGGGGCACGGCCAGAGCGAGCCTGTCCTCCTGTCAGGCCACAGCCCTGGGGGCTCAGCGGGGTCAGCCGGCCCGGAGGGAGGCGCTGTCCCCCACCCTCCCCCCCACTCGTGGTGAAAACGCAGAGACTCAGACCCTGGGCGGCGGACTCCAAGGCCTGCACTTCAGCGCGTGCTGAACCCCGAGACCCCTAGATCCTGACCGGGGCGGTGGGCGAGTGTGCCACGTGGGGCACTCAGCGTGAGGCACGAGGAGCGGCGGCCAGGCGGGCAGCCCGCGTGTCCAGTGAGAAGCCGCTCGCCCCCCGCCCAGCCCGGGGCGCCACCACAAGCTCCGGGAGCGCAGAAGCCTCACAGCCGGCACGAAGCTCCGCTGGGCTGAAGGCTGGGCAGGGAGCGCCGGGACTTCTGCCGGGCAGGGGCCACCCCTGTAGAGCTGGGTGCCCCCCTCACGAGACCCACCTGTGGGACGCCCCGAGGCGTGCCGACTCTGACCCAGGCCCCACGGTGGGGCGTCCACAACGGGGGGCGGGGCTGATGTCCCCGATAGGGGGCATGACGGGGGCCCCGCAACACGCCCGTGCAAGGACACGGCGCTGGGAAAGGCCGCCCCTGGCAGGAGCCACCCCTCCGCTCGCGGAGCCCCATCCCACAGCCCGCGGCCCCCGTGCCTCTGGCCCGCCCCCCGAGTCCCAGCAAGCTGGGGCTCCGGCCAGGAGCACCTCCGAGCCCTCTCTCCTCCTTGCCTCGCCACGGCGTCCTCGCCTGGGGCAGAGACCCAGCCGCTGCCCGACGTCCAGGATGACCTGCTAAGGGCTCGCTATCCCTGGGGTGACCTCAGGCGGAGGCTGGGGCCTCCCTGGCCACATGCTGGCCATCCTGGCTCCGCGGTCGCGGCCTGACAGGCGTAGCTAACCCGCCCCCCGCCCCGTCCCGCCCGTGCCAAGAGCTCCGCACGCCAACTTACAGGACAGGGAATGACCACAGCCCACCCTCACCTGACAGCACCCACGTCAGGTTTCCGGCCTGAGCAAGCCCGGCCGACCGGGCCCGGCCCACACCGGCCGCTCGGACAAGTCGGGAAGAAGCTGCCGCTGCGCAGTTCCCTCAGGCAGCGCCTAGCCCATCGGTGCCCGCCGAGAGCGACGCTCAACACCGAGGCAGACGGGGCTCACAGGGGCCGCTCGCTGTGGGACGGGGCCTCCCCAGCAGAGGCTTGGGCTGCGTCGGAAGCAACGTAAGAGAAATCATTTAAAACGTAAGCGAAAGGAGCGCTGTTCTGCTTACCAAAGCCGAGCCAGCCCTTACCAGTTATGCGTCGTTTGTTATTTTACATTCACCAGCGTGACACTTAAAATCTATTAAAGGGGCCTCCCTGGTGGCTCAAGGGGTTAAGCACCGCACCATGAAGCAGTCCGCAGCCTCTGCAGCACGAGTTCGATTCCCGGCCAGCCAGGGGGCTACCCACACGGTGCAGCAGACCTTTCCTGACTCGCCCGCTGCTCCCCTCAGCAGTTTTTAAGTTGATCTGCCTGTTCTGCTCCCCACTCTGTCTCTGGTGAGTCCGCTCACCCCCCACACCTCTGGCCTGTACCCCAGCTCTTGTGTGCATAAATAAATCAATCTTAAAAATATTCTTAAAAAATCCATTAAAGGAACGGTTATTTTTCATTTTTACTACTTAGAAGATAAGTTACCCAAGCAGTAAAATAAGCCTAATAAAAACTTGAGAGTAGTGAGGTGTTTCCTGCCCCTGAAACACTTCAATGGTTAAAAAACAAACCAACAGCACCTGCTTGTGCAAGAGGCAACCACGGACTTGCAGCGGCAGTTCCCGAATACCCAAGCGCCTGCGCGCCCCGCTGCGGAAGCCAGCGCTCGCGTTCCCACCCGGCCTGGCCACTCCACAGTCCTCTCGCGCTCGAGCTGCTGGGCCCCATGGGCCTCCTGCTGCCTTAACACGCCTGTGAGGACGAGAAGGCAACGCCCGAAAGGGTCTCCCCCAGCCACCTCACCTCTCGGGTCAGCCCACACACACCCCACGGCCCCGCCGTGGCCTGGGGTGCCGGGCAGGTGCGGAACCGACGCCATCCCACGGCCTTGCACCAGGTGCCCGGGGTCCTGCGGCCCTGCGCCACCAGACAGCTCTTTTGAAAGGTTCTCTGCGGGCACGTCTCGGCCGGTGAGGGTGGGGGCGTGCAGAGTGGGGCAGAGCGCTGAAGAGCTGGGGAGCGAGGCCCGGCCGGGCAGGTGAGGACGCTCAAGGAGCGACGCAGGCCCGACCAGGGCATCAGGTGGTGGCCGCGGTGCTGAGCCGGCAGCTGCGGTGCGGCCTGTGGTGCGAGGTGGGGGAAGGCAGGCGGGGAACCCGGGATGGACAAGGGACGGGGCACGGGCCCCAGCCAGGATGGCAGCACCACCCTGTATCCCAACACGGACACAAGCTGGGGGACGGGCTGCAGCCCCATTAAGCTGGAGAAAGCGCAGGGCAAACAGGAGGTGTGGCGGGACCTCACGTGCGGCGGAAAACCCGGGCTCACGACCCAGATCACGGAACCGGGGGCCAGCAAGGAAGGCCGCGGCCGAGAGATGCGACAGTGGTGGGGCGACAGCCGCAGCGGGCATGCTCAGGGCCGAGGGGCAGCTGGGGAAGGCAGGCAAGCGAGCTGGGGCCCAAGACGCACCGGGGGCTTGCAGGGAGGCGGGGGTGGGCAGCACCCACATCCCGCGGCATGTCTCCACGGAGCAGAAGACCATGCGGCAGCGCACCCGGGCAGGGTGGTCATGAGGCTGCACCAAGCACCACCTCCCAGATGCTCCCCGCCAGCCCTAGAGGCCCCAGAGACCCAGGGTGGAGGCGTCCCTGTCACGCAGCGCGAAGGGACCCCCGGCTCAGGGCTGTTGCCGTCTACCAACCGGTCACCCCTCAAAAGCCCCCGGCGAGGAAGACCCCTGTGGCCTGAGGCAAGGCAGCCATGGCTTCTTCCCCCCAAACGACGGGCATCACTGACCTTGTCCTGACCTCGACCTCTCTCCTCCCTTGGGAACCCGCTGTCCATGCCCAGAGAGACCCACAGGCGCAGGGTGCCCGGACGGCCCACCAGGGTGCTCTGAGAGGCCCGACTAGGGCCCTGGCGAGAAGCCCAGCCCGGCTGGTGGACGTACGGCCCTGTCTGCCTGGGCGGTCAGTCTGGTGAGGATGGACTCGAGCACTTGAGGACGCCGCTGCCTCGCGCACAGAACGAAGGGAACACGTGTGAGGTGCGTGCTGAGGTGTCACTATGCGGAGGGAAACCACTCTGGTCGGGACAGTCGGCGGACGTGACGGCCCCAGCCCAGAGGCAGCTGCTGTGTGGGCAGAACA